TATTTCCCAGGACTGCTGCTTTATAATCAATTTGTTTTGGTAGAGTAGGGGTACATGGGTTCTAATTTAAGAGGGAGAATGGGGGAGTTAAGAGGGGAGGGTACTCGAAAAGGCAATGCAATTTAAGGGAGGCACAGTGATTCATGTGGTTGATTTTTTTTTTGCACAGAAACTGAGGTTGGATTCTTTTCTATAGAAAAAGTAGACTTCAGGAACTGAGGTCGGATTTTTTTCTACGAAAAAAGTACAACTCAGGAACTGAGGTCGAATTTTTTCTATAAAAAAAAGCAGGAGCTGAGGTCGAAGTTTTACACCTCAGAAACTGAGGTCGGATTTTTTTTCTATAGGAAAAAAGAACACCTCAAAAACTGAGGTCGAATTTTTTCTACAGAAAAAATAGCACCTCAGAAACTGAGGTCGAATTTTTTCTATAGAAAAAGTACACCTCAGGAACTGAGGTCGGATTTTTTTTTCTATAGGAAAAAAGTACGCCTCAGGAACTGAGGTCGGATTTTTTTCTATAGGAAAAAAGTACACCTCAGAAACTGAGGTCGGATTTTTTCTATAGAAAATAAGTACACCTCAGGAACTCAGGTCGGTTTTTTTTTCTATAGAAAAAAATAGCACCTCAGGAATTGAGGTCGGATTTTTTCTATAGAAAAAAATAGCACCTCAGGAATTGTTGTCGGATTTTTTTCTATAGAAAAAAATAGCACCTCAGGAATTGAGGTCGGATTTTTTTCTATAGAAAAAATAGCACCTCAGGAACTGAGGTCGATTTTTTTTCTATAGAAAAAATAGCACCTCAGGAACTGAGGTCGATTTTTTTTCTATAGAAAAAATAGCACCTCAGGAACTGAGGTCGAATTTTTTTGTACAGAAAAAAGTACACCTCAGGAACTGAGGTCGGATTGTTTTCTATAGAAAAAAGTACACCTCGAGAAATGAGGTTGGATTTTTTTCTATAGAAAAAAAATAGCACCTCAGGAACTGAGGTTGGATTTTTTTCTATAGAAAAAAATAGCACATCAGGAACTGAGGTCGAATTTTTTTCTATAGAAAAAAATAGCACCTCAGGAACTGAGGTCGAATTTTTTTCTATAGAAAAAAATAGCACCTCAGGAACTGAGGTCGAATTTTTTTCTATAGAAAAAATTAGCACCTCAGGAACTGAGGTCGAATTTTTTTCTATAGAAAAAAATAGCACCTCAGGAACTGAGGTCGGATTTTTTTCTAATTTTTTTGTACAGAAAAAAGTACACCTCAGGAACTGAGGTCGGATTGTTTTCTATAGAAAAAAGTACACCTCAAGAAATGAGGTTGGATTTTTTTCTATAGAAAAAATGGCTCCCCAGAAACTGAGGTCGAATTTTTTTCTATAGAAAAAAGTTCCTCTGAAACTTAGGTCGATTTTTTTCTCAGCTGATCCTTTATTTGTAATTCCAAATCACTGTGCTTCGTCTATGCCAATAAATGATCGATATGATTTTCAAAAATTATTTTTAGAATATCAACGCGTTTCAGTTTAAAATTAAATGGTCGGAAAACCACTTTAAATTTTTGGCATAATTTTTGTTGTTGTTGAAACTAAATTTTAGCAAATGCAACTACAACAAAATTTAAAAACAAATCTATAATTACAACAACTACGTCATAAAATACAATTTTCAATATCTTTATTTGCGATTCTTCTTTCTACAATGTTTAGCTGTCATTCTTTTTTTTTTTGCGAGGTTGATGTTCTAGGAATGTTAATTAGGAGGTTTCATTGGTTTACCTTAAAAATATGTTTCTCATATTGTAATTAGTTGTTGTTAAGCAGCATGTTTGCTCATGCATATTAGTTGGATGTATTTTGTTGTAAATTTACAAAGAATTTTTTGTTATTGCTGTCAATTCTTTTTTTTTTTTTTTTGAATCTGTTCTGCAAACTTACCTTGTTCCTCTGTTTGTCCTCCAACTTTCGTCGTTTCTGCAGTAGTTTGAGTTTTCTGGCTTCATCTTTGGCAAATTCTCCTAAATCTTTGGTGTAGCGACCATACATCTAAAGGAAATGAAGAGAAAAAGAAGAAGAGAATTTGAAATTAATATTGTTTGTAAATAATGAAATTGTTTTGGGATATTGGATCGTATGATTGATAATAATCCATTGATAGTAGTTATACGCACCCATGTTTAAGATGTAGGATTTGCTGGAGCATGATTTTGTTTAAGGGAATAAAATACCGAATTTTTGCAAATAAATCGATATTTTTTAATAGATAAAAGCTGTTGTCGGCTCTATGGAATTTATTTCTATAGAAAAACATGTAAAACTTAAGAGACTACTGTGTTCATTGTATAAAAAATTTCAGACTAAATATCTTACAGATTTTTTTTTATAAAAAATTATGAACTTAGCAATCAAGAAAAAGCTAAGATCCAAATATTTTATGATAAAAACTAGAAGGAAATGAGGAACTGGGTGCTTTTCAAATATGAGACCTTATGCCCGGAGTGACATAAATCTACAGAAAAAAGTTCGATGTCAGGTTAAATTACAAAAATCTAAACGTTATTAGAACCGAAATAAAATGAATACACTAAAAATGTTTCCGGGTCATGTATTCCATACCATAATACACAAAATTTGTTACTTTTCTCACAAGAGTTTTGGTCCATTTGACCCGTAGAGCGACTAGGAAACCGGACACAAAAAATTGGACATAAATATCATTCGATCACCACCAAATTCTATAGATGCCGTCTTTGATAAAATTTCGTAACAATTTGTATGATATTTGTGACCTCTAGTGTAGAAATGGGAATACTAAACAATATCGGAACACATAGATCCCCATAGAGGAAAAGATATACAATTTCGTAACAATTGGTCCATAACTGTGACCGGTGCATTGTTTACAAATTGTAATGGACAGATGAACGAATCGACTTAGATAATCGAGATATGACGGTCGGTATACTAGGTCTATGACCATTATTTTGCATTGCAGACTTGGGAAGCCACACAAACCTATAATTTGATTTAAATAATTTGAATAGAAACATGAGCGTTGGGTGCGAACATTTTACATTTTAAAACTGACCTAATGTTTGATAAAACGGAATTTTTTGAGATTGGGGGTTATTACGGTTTTTTTTTTGTACAAAATGCTTATAGAAAAGAAATCACTAGAGATTTTACCACTAAAAAAGGAATGATTTTCAGAAATATGGAAATCTACAATTCACTAGGGCCTAGGAAAAAATTAAAAGGATACGTCTTCTAGGGAAATATTTCTATTCCCAAGAATAATTCCTCGAAGTATAAATATGTTATCGGACGTTAGTTTCACAGTTTATATTGATCGATACTTTGGGAAATTTTTCATAAATAAAAAGGAGATTTTTCAAAAAAAAAAAAAAAAAAAATTTGGATAATTAACTAAATTCTCATTTTCCAAAAATTTTAACTATTTTGAGATGTTAGAATTTGTAATGAAAACTCTGGGATAAAGTTAATCAATTAAAACCCTTAAATTCTCTTTATATAAAAAATAGATTCTGCGAGGTCCAATTTAATTCTAGAAAAAAATCAGATATAATGGGTATGGATTTTATTCTATGGGATGCGAAGAGTCTGGAATTTTTTTGTATAAAGACAAAACTGATACTTTAACGTCTCTGTATACTTGGTGGTAAAGTATGAGACCTTAATGAACTGTGGAATTTCTTCGATTGAAAATGGAGAAAATCATAGAAAAAACAATTTTCTTCTACGAAGAGGACATCGATGTCAAGAAAAAATTCAGTAGGAACAGGTAACCCATTGTTTTTATACGCTCCACCTTAGTATGGAGGGTATATTAATTTTGTCATTCCGTTTGTAACTCATTGAAATATTAATTTCCGACCCTGTAAAGTATATATTCTTTATCAGGGTAAAATTCTAACACGATCTAGCATTGTCCGTCCATCTGTTATAATCACGCTATCTTCTGAAGGAATTGAGATAGATCGCCAAAAGTTTACATAGAGTCGTCTTTTGTCTGCAGGCAGGTTCGAGATGCAAGTTCGAAGATGGGCTATATCGGTCCACGTTTAGGCATAGCCCCCATATTTTGGGGTTCTTGAGCACGCTTTTCAACCGACTTTTTTCAACTGAAATTTGGTACATTGGGTTATTTTTTGGGTACCAAATGTCACCACTAAAAATTATAAATATCGGTCCACTTTTACTGGTAGCCTCCATATAACGGTACACCCCATTTACGGTATTTTAAGGGGTTTTAGCGCGTCTTTAAACCGCTTAAATTTGGTACAATGGGTTCCTATTGGGTACCAAATTTCTTCACTAAAAATTATAAATATAGGCCCATTTTTTCGGGTAGCCTCCCTATATAAGACACCCTTAATTTTCGTTAATTTGGGATTCTTGGGCGCGTTTTTCAAACGAAATTCGCTGGAATTTGGTATTTTGTAGTCGCATATGATAAGAAATGTTCCTACCAAAAATTATTAATATTCGCCACTTTTAGGGATAGTTCCCATATAACACCCTTCTTATATTAAAATAGTTAGCTGATTAGTACTGTGTGTAGGGGTTGTCCCCATATAGGCGTATTCTACCATAGTATAGAAGATAATCGTTACTCGAAATTGTCTGTTTTACCCTAAGACGAATTCTAAGACGATTTAGCCACCGTTTGTAATCATTCCGCTTTCTAAAGAAATCGTGGTAAAAAAAGTCGAACCTGACTATAATGAAATAAATCGGTCAGCATTTAGGCATCTCACCCATATAATAATACTTCCTGAAGGAAAAAATTGAGACACAAGGCAAAAATATTGGGTTCGAAATTGACATATGTCGGCCATTAATAAAGGCATAGCCCTCATATAATTATAACCCCAATTATTCGCTAATTCCTACAGTATGTAATCTAAATTGCAGAAATTTGAGGATTGTATATTCTATCATGCTTTATTAGTATCAGTCCACGCTTTGGGGTTTTCATTAAAAATTTCTGATATTTGTATTTGAGCTATATCTAAATCTGGACCGATTTTCACGAAACAACGCAGATATCACTCTAGGCTCAATTCAGTACGTTATGCCAAATTTTGTGCAAAACGAAAGATATATAGGGACTTTGGTGCACCATTTACATGAAATCGGACGAAACTATATATGGGAGCTATATGTAAATCTTGACCTATTTTCACGAAACTTGGCAGACATCATTCTAGACCTAAATGATTAGGCTGTACCAAATTTCGTGCAAATCAAAAGATATATAGGGACTTTGGGGCACCATTTACATGAAATCGGACGAAACTATATATGGGAGTTATATCTAAATCAGGACCGATTTTCATGAAACTTGCCAGACATCATTCTGGGCTCAATTAAGTACGTTATGCCAAATTTCGTGCAAATCGAAGGATATATAGGGACTTTGGGGCACCATTTACATGAAATCGGACGAAACTATATGTGGGAGCTATATAGAAATCTGGACTGATTTACTCGAAACTTGGCAGACATCACTCTAGGCTCAATTCAGTACGTTATGCCAAATTTCGTGCAAATCGAAGGATATATAGGGACTTTGGTGCACCATTTACATGAAATCGGACGAAACTATATATGGGAGCTATATGTAAATCTTGACCTATTTTCACGAAACTTGGCAGACATCATTCTAGACCTAAATGATTAGGCTGTACCAAATTTCGTGCAAATCGAAAGATATATAGGGACTTTAGGGCACCATTTACATGAAATCGGACGAAACTATATATGGGAGCTATATCTAAATCTGGACCGATTTTCACGAAAATTGGCAGACATCATTCTGGGCTCAATTAAGTACGTTATGCCAAATTTCGTGCAAATCGAAGGATATATAGAGAATTTGGTGCACCATTTACATGAAATCGGACGAAACTATATATGGGAGATATATCTAAATCAGGACCGATTTTCATGAAACTAGGCAGACATCATTTTGGGCTCAATTAAGTACGTTATGCCAAATTTCGTGCAAATCGAAAGATATATAGGGACTTTAGGGCACCATTTACATGAAATCGGACGAAACTATATATGGGAGCTATATCTAAATCTGGACCGATTTTCACGAAACTTGGCAGACATCATTCTAGACCTAAATGATTAGGCTGTACCAAATTTCGTGCAAATCAAAAGATATATAGGGACTTTGGGGCACCATTTACATGAAATCGGACGAAACTATATATGGGAGATATATCTAAATCAGGACCGATTTTCATGAAACTTGGCAGACATCATTCTGGGCTCAATTAAGTACGTTATGCCAAATTTCGGACTTTGGTGCACCATTTACATGTAATCGGACGAAACTATATATGGGAGCTATATCAAAATCTGGACCGATTTTCTCGAAACTTGGCAGACATCATTCTAGGCTCAATTCAGTACGTTATACCAAATGTCGTGCAAATCGAACGATATATAGGGACTTTAGGGCACCATTTACATGAAATCGGACGAAACTATATATGGGAGCTATATCTAAATCTGGACCGATTTTCACGAAAATTGGCAGACATCATTATAGGCCTAAATGATTAGCCTGTACCAAATTTCGTGCAAATCGAAAGATATATAGGGACCGTTTACATTAAATCGGTTAAATATATATATGGGAGCTATATCTAAATCTGAACCGATTTTTCCCAATTTCAATAGGGTTCGTCCTTGGGCCGAATAAGTGACCTATGCCAAATTTCATCCAATTCGGATCATAAATGCGACCTGTACTTTGTTTACAATTTAACATGGACAGACAGACAGACGGACGGACGGACGGACATGCATAAATCGACTTAGAAAGTGATTCTATGCATATTCTCAAAAGGAACCATGGGTCTATCTCGATTATTTTTGCCTGTTACAAACATATGCACAAAGACATAATACCCTGTACCACAGTGTGGTGAAGGGTATAAAAAAGAAAAAACGGGTAAACACAAATACTTGCGGAAATCTTTCTTTGTTTGGATAGAAATAATTTGTAG